AGGAAAACATTTGGAAAGGTATACCAATGATCGTAATGCCTTTTTTTATGGATCAAAAATTCAATACAGAAATATTAGTAGCTAAAGGCGTTGGCATATATTTGGACATTAAAATTTTGTCCACGCAGTCCATATTACACGCAGTTGAAGAAATACTTTACAATGAAAGGTATCATGTTTCGATCATATTTTATTATCATTAATATTACTTATACAGTAAATTAACAACAAAGTGATATTTTAAATAATGTCTAAGCTCTAATGTTTAATATAATCGATTTATAAATTTTTGTAAAAACAATTGTTTATAATAGATTATGAAAAAATAGATTATAAAATTTGGCTTTTCTGTTTATGCATAACATCTCGTCATATTTTGCTTTTTCTTTAATAAAGATGCGTAATTTTTGTATTACATTATTAATAGTGAAACATTTTTTGGTACAGTTATACAAAAAACATGAAACAATTGTCCACCGAATTTCGGGATCGGCCAATACCACCATTAGATTTAGCTGTTTGGGGCATTGAATACACCGTCCGCCATCCAAATCTAACTTTAGCAACGCCGCTGAAATTTCAGAGCTGGGTGGAACGAAATCAGATCGATGTCTACGCATTTTTGTTACTTATTTTCTTCGCGATATTGTTAAATATATTCTTTGTAATTAAGTTATCGATTAATTTTTTTTATAATCATATATACACCAAATTACGCAAGAGCAAACAAGCGTAAATCATAGAAATATTAACAGACATTGCGTGTAGTAATGTTAATGTTTAATGTATTGTAAAAGAAGTAAAATTAATGTAGATATAAAAAAATGTATTAATTGCATTGATATTATAATTATATATTAATAAATTATGTTATATTAAATTGTAAAATAAATCAAAATTATATGGTAAATATTAGAAACGTTTAATACAATATTTTATGTATAAAACCTCCTTTTTGGCAGTAAATAAGGTAATACTTATAGTGTTTAACAATAGTATATTGTACAACTAGTGAGGAAAAGTGGTCGATTCTGAATGAGTGTGAAGTTGACCATCACACTCATTTGGGCTCGACCACTCTTCCCACGAGTTGTTCATATTATTTTTCCTAACAAGAGTGTGAAACAGGCCGCTTTTCGCGCTTGTTTTACAATATCATTTCTCCACTAGTTGAGAAATGGTTCCATGTTTCAACGCGTTCGTCATCATTGCGAAATGGATTGTTTTGCTCACTCAAAACAAGCGCGAAAAGCGGCCTATTTCACGCTCGCGTTAGGAAAAATTTATATCCAAACATTTACGCAAGTATAAATATCTTTCAGAATTCTCTTAATTTAAATGTAGATAGACATTCGTTTGTTTGTTTGAGTTTCCTAAACTTTTTTTTTTGGCTCACCGCTACCTTTTCAAAGATAATTTTTTTCGGCGTTTACCTAAGGAAATCTCTGTCTTAATCTCAACTAATAATAAAATTGTAAGAGTATAGCTGTGTCTGTAATTTTTGATTTTTACCAAAATATTTATGTAGCTGTGTGTAATTTTTGAATTTCAAAAACTAGTTTAAACTTGAAACTGAAATTTAAAAGTTATTTATTAAAATAAAATAACAAAAATGGAATTGCACATAAACACAAAATTGCTCGCTAATATTGGTAATTATAATATCAATCAAATCAGTTACATTAAAAATTACTAATGAGAAGGATGAGCCTGGTGTGCTGCTACCAATTTGTCTATATTCGGTTCTAGTTTTATCAGCAGCATCCTTAAATCTTCACGGTCTTAACTTTTTGCAGTCGATTCCTCTTTTTAATCAGAAGACCGCACTAAATCCACGTTAAACTAAATCTGGATGACGAAAATGTAATCAAAATTTTTTAATCACAACCCTCTCTTTATCGGTTGCATATATGTATATATTAACCAAATTATGAACTGATAAGGTACGATAGAAAAATTGTGCATCTTTGTATTCGCATAATTGTGATATTGTTAATTAGAAAAAACGAGCGGTCAGTTATTTTAATTGATTGAGGCTTCCTGTTTGATATATTTCTTTCACGTACGTGTCCCATGCTGAGGAGTTTCTTTAAGTGGAAAAAGAGAGCAGCTACGATAATATTAAATTAAAATATTTTTAAATGTATAAAATAAGATATATAAATGTATGACGGTATACTTCTCCCATTTAAAGTCTTTCATTTAATTTATTGTGTAAAAGACTTAACACACGGTGTGATTTATTAAAATTATTTTTTATTATTTCAACGATACTGATGGATATTTAAAATGAATAAACAGCATCTAAGAAAAGAAAAACGTAAGATCGATCGTATTGTATAGCTGTACATCTGGAATCGCCGTTTTTCGTGTAAAGAAGTATAAAGAGATATTAAAAATACATAATTTTCTATATATACTTTTAGATACACCTTATGCTTTACACCTTATTAAATTTAACATTTGCATTGATCGCTTCCGTAATTTTCACGGAAAGTACATACAATTCATCACGAAGTTAACTTTACATTTGTACTATTATTTACATATTTTTATTTCTAGAAATTGCAAGATGAAATATGAATTGT